TACAGGGGCACATGAGTGTGTGTGTGTGTGTGTGTGTGTGTGTGTGTGTGTGTGTGTGTGAGCGTGTGCCTTCCTCTAGCTCTCCCTGTCACCCTCTCTGGTTGCAAAGCTTTCCCCTCTGCTTTGTTCTGTCCTCCCTGTGCTCACAGCAACACCTCAGCTCCTAAGCATGTATGCTTTTCTTCCTGCCTTCCAAGAATCTCCCCAAAAATCAGGGCCTCTACTGACCTTCCAGAATGGAGCCCCAGCTCACTTGGGTCCAGCAGCAGGTCAGATGACTCTGCTAGGGCAGGAGAAAAAACAACACACATCTGATTTTGATGGTAATGCATTACCACCCAGCTCTAGGTCACACTGATTCTCATGAAATAAATGCTGTTAGATTCTGCACCACAGAACTACGCTAACAACGGAGAAAAGCTCACTCCTGTGTTTACAGACCTAAAGATCTGTGAGCTTAGTGTGTCATCACATCTGCCAGAGGCTTGGCACGTTCCACCAGATGGACTTCACGCAGCAAATGGGGCCAATGGCTCCACACTGCTTAAGCCAGGCCCATCTTCCAGAAGATGCCCATGTGATGTGGTGATGAATCCTCCGAATTTATCAGTACACTTATCCCAATTTAAAAGCCAGTTGTTGGAGGAATTGTTGGCAAGTAAGGACGTTGCTGTCAATGGAAAATACCAAAGCATACTGATCTTCTGGATGCTCATTTAGTGCCTGGCCTGTGCTAAGCGTGTACCGGCATTATTTCATTTGCTTCTTACTTCAACCAAAGAAAACTGGTATTGTTACTGTCCTACTTCCATTTATGAGTAAGCTGATCCTTAGGGAGGTTAACTCACTTGCCACACTCTGCTGGTGCACCAAGTCACACTAGTTAAGTTACAATTACTTTTATATTTATGCCCAACTTTAAAGAGTCACAAAAGGGGGTGGGGAATTTTCTGGTTCTTGAAACTGTAAACTCCAAATTTCAGGGCTGACTTGACTCTAAACATAGTTATCAAAGGCCTGATGCCTCCCCATGTCTCCTCTCTGCCTCACTGTGCAGGGACTCCACTCAGGGTGGCAAGATAGCTGCAGCGGTACCATCCACATGTCTCATGTGCAGAAAGAAAAGAAGGATTTTTCCCAAAATCCCCTAGCACACACTTTCTCCAGGCTCAGTGGCCTTAATCAGGCCTCCCATCACCCTAGGACCATGCACAGGGCATACACTGCCACTTTCATGCCCCTTAGAGCCAGAGATGTCTCTAACAGCCCAAACTCAAGAACAGCAGGGGAAAAAACCAGGTTTGTTTTCAAGATTTGGGGAGTGACTATCAAGAGAGGAGTGATTACAATTAGAATGTTGTGGCACAGTGATCTGATCCCAGGCCTGTCTGTTTAAACACCATTTACTGAGTCCTTGCTGTAGATCAGACATGATTTTAGATGCTGGAGACACAAACCTGAAAAGCTCCTGCCCTCCCACCCTCCTATAGCTGGCTCTGCTGCTGATGCAGGGGTTCTTGTTCATGGAGTCAAAGAATGAACTTCACAAATGCTCAAAGCAGGGGAGCAAGTGAGAGGCTTTTATTTAGAAATAAAAGTGAGAGGAAAGAGCTCCTGGCTTGCAGCAGGAGGGGACAAGAGAGCCCAGGATGGTGCATTGTCTAAGGGTTTTATAGGCGGTTGAGAGACAAAGGGCTAGGGATGTACACCTGCTTGGTGGTCCCAAAATGTTTATCTTTTAAGAGACATTAAGTTTCTTACTAGTCTTTCTGGTTATTTACAAGAAATATACTGCTTTGATTTCCTCACAGGATTGCAGCTTCCTGGTTTGGGAGCATATTGCTCAAGACTGCCTGCTTTGCTCCCAAGGTGGGCTGAGTTATTGTCTGTTTGTTAAAGAGTATGTTAAACTTACTTTTTAACTAACTGGGTTTTAAAATGCAATCTTATTTTCAAGATGGAATCCTTCCTGTTTGTTTTGGGCCTGCTTGTTAAACTGCTGGGTGGCAAATCACTTTATTAGTGTTGTAGGAAGAAAAGCAGCACCTGGGTAAAGTCAGAAAAACAAGTTGGGGCCCCCAGCAGGCCAAACCAAGTCCCACAATGGATTATCTTGCTTTGTTATTTTCTGGAGGCCCTCACCCTGCTCTAAGACCATGGTCCCTCTCTCAGTGGATGGTGTAAGGTTGGAGGCACAGGAGGGAGGGGTGAGCACATCGGACACTGATGACGTGCCAAAGTCCCCGGCTGCTGTCCCCTCCCAACCTGAAAAATGTGCCTTAGGCTAGCCAATCCTCATGCCACTGTAAATCTAAGCTCTGCCTCCCCCTACCTTCTTTAAAAACTCACTGCCTGCCCTGCTGGGCGTGACTTCCCCAGCCTGTGTTTCAGACTGGTGAACCTCGCCCAGGATTGCGCTCAAATAAACTGCCTGGCCCTTTGTTGCCTCTTGTCGCCTGCTTATTTCGGTTAGAATTTATCTTATATTTGGTGCCAAAAAACCTGGGAAGGAGCGTGAGTGTGGGGCCCTGACCAGCCATCAGCGGCCCTGACCCCTCCTTCTCTGACCCAGGACCTCAGCCTGCTCTCTGCTGCATAGACTATTTTCCGGTGAGTCCCTCAGTTTCCCCTGGTCTGTTTCCCTTCCTAACTCCGTTTCACCTGGTCCGTTCAAAATCGTAGCTACGTCCAGGTTGGGGCATCTGACCCATCCACTGTGGGCATCGGGGATACCCGCCCCTGGCCCTGCAGTGTGGGAGACTTCCCTTACCCAGGTTCCCAGGCCGTCTCCCCTGACTTGGCGCACTTGGGATACTGGGCACTCCTCTCAGTGGGATTAGTTGGGGAGTGGCGCAGACATGGGGAACCAGCCCTCAAAAGGAGAGGCTCAGACCCTGCTGCAGTGTCTCATTTCTAATTTGGCTACTCTGTATTTCTCCCAAGAAGTTTGCAAATGGAAGCTGGTCTTACTTTGCTCTCAGGCCTGGCCTCAGTATCCCTTGGACAACCAATCTCACTGGCCCCCTGAGGGAACTTTTGATTTTGGCCTCCTCACTGACTTGACTAATTATTGCCACCGGAGCAGAGAGTGGGGTGAAATCCCATATGTGCAGGCTTTTTGGACTTTGTGCTCCTACCCAGACCTTTATGTTAAGTGTTCAATGACCCAGGTTCTCCTGGCCCAATCTCCAGTTAAAGATTGCTAGCCTCTTACTCTGCCTAGTCCTTCTTCCTTTTCAGATCCAATGGAGGACCTTAGTCTCCCACCTCTCTCAGCTCACTACCCTCACCCCTCTCCACCACCATCTTTAAGTTCTTTGTCCTCCCCCATGTGGCTGCCATCTTAAAGTCCTACATTCTCAACCATGCCATCTTCCTGCTCCTCTCCTCTTCCGGTGGCTGCACCACCCCTCCCCCTCTCCTTCCACCTTCACTGCCCTCTTCCCCCACCAGAACACGCTCCTCCTGCCCTCTGGTTCCAGAAGTCACAGACAAGACTCCTCCCAGCACAGATCTGCCTCCTTTCTCTCCCGACCATACACCCCTCCCCACACCCACCGTTTTGTAAGTGGTCTGACATGGTTGTTGAGAGTAGGTGAGCTAGGCACAGCAAGTGAACATCTTAGTGATTGTGTATTGCAGTGTGTGTGCCTGCCTGCAGCCTGAAAATTTTTGTAGTGACCTAGAATCTTGAAAGTTTTGCCAAGTAGACATATTTTGTGCTTAGACATTATGCTGTAAAGCACATGGTGTCAGGAATTATAAAGTGTTCATGAATTTGTTAATCTAAAGAATGCTAGTGCAATAGTTTGCAATAGCCCACTTCTCAGTGTTCACTGAAAATTAAAGTTCCTAATGGTTTTGAGGTCTAATTAAAGCTATTTAAAGAAGAGAACATCTCTACTTGCTAAAAAGATGTGTTTTAATAAGAGAAAGTATAAAGAATGGAAATTCATTTTGTTGAGGGTATAAGAAGGTAATTATTCTAAAGTACAGCTATTTATTTAAAAGGGAGAACACTGAATGTAAAAGGAAAGTTGTAGAAAGCTTGTGGAAGAATTTAATATAGTCATGCTACAAAAAATAAAAGCAAATGAGTCTCGGTATCAATTACACAGCACAGCAAAATTAGAATTTTGTTTTCAGCTAAAAAGAAAGTTTTCTTAACTGTTAGTCTGCTCTTAATGTTAAAAGATTGCAAAGAGTTCTCTAATTGTTTAATCAAAACAGTTTCTCATGCTTAAAGTCTCGATGAGTTGTCTGAATATTTAAGTTAATGACATCTTAATATGAAAAAACTAAAAGCTAAGCTTTGCCAATAACTGCAACCTTCTGTATTTGCCTTTAAAATCTTTTGTTGTCATTCTGGTTAAATACATAAGTATTGTTTCATAGTAACTTATGATTCTATTTAGACAAATGCCTTAAAAAAAACTTTAACAGCTTCCCAAAATCAAATTTAAAAAGGTGCTTTTACCTCTAGTTAACTCTGATATTTTCCAGAGGGCCCCTGGAACACGTCAGAGGAATTTTTTCTCATTAGAGATAGTATTTAGCCAATTTAGACTTTTTTTCTCATTAGAGGAAGTATTTGGCTGGTTTGGCTTGTTTATCTGATATAAAATTACCTGCTTAATTACCTAGAAAGCACTGTCAAAGAAAATAATGCTAAACTTTGTTACTGAATGTTTTTTGTTAATGAAATATCCAAATTTCCTTATGTCAACTGTCTTACAGTAAGTTCTCATCAGATCTTTAACCATTGTCAGTTGTAAGTCTTTTGTCATTTATAGTCACTGTTTTATTACTCCTAAACTAGTAAAGAACTAGATTTCACCAGAACAAGTATTAGTTACATAAGACGTAAGTTAAAAAGGCAGAAGAGGGACCCCAAACTCCACTCCGTGACCTGGTAACCATGGCCTTTAAAGTCTTTAATACCCGTGTTGAAGAACATGAGAGGAAGACAGTGTCCCAAACCTGAGCCTTCGTGGTGGCCCTGTGGCCAGCAGGACAGGGGTCTCATCACACCAAAGACTGGTCCAGAGCTTGTGAGCCTCCGGGACCCTGCTTCCGGTGTGGCCAAGAAGGCCACTAGGCAAAGAGATGCCCCAACCTGACCAACAAGCCGACTAAACCCTGCCCAGTTTGCGTTCAGAGAGGTCATTGGAAATTAGAGAGCCCAGTTGGGGAAAGTCATCCCCCCATGACAGAGTCTCGTGGGAGGCAGGCCCCCCTGAGGGACTCTCCTCCAGACCTGCTGGGCCTACTCAAAGACTGAAGATGCCTAAACTTGAACACCCCTATCACCCTTGCCTAGCCCAGGGCCATGATGTGGGTAGCAGGTAAGTCCATCTCCTTTTTAGTGGACATAGAGGCTGCCTACTCTGTTTTACCTTCCTTTCACGGGCGTTTACATCCTTCTCAGGTCTCAGTCGTGGGTGTCATGGGAACCCCCTGTAAGCCTTTAGAGACAGGTCCAGTAGCCTACACGTTTGGGAGCCATCCTCTTACCCACTCATTTCTAGTCATCCCGTCCTGTCCCATCCCTTTGTTAGGGAGAAATCTCCTCTCCAAGCTTAGTGCCTCTATATCCCTGCCTCTTAGTCATCCCAACCGAGCTCACTCATCATCTTAGCCAATAAAATTGTAGCCCTGAGCCCTCCACAGACCCTCCTGTACCATCGACCGGCGTTAACCCGATAGTCTGAAACACCTCTACTCCTGTAGTGTTGAGCCATCATGCTTCAGTCCTCATTCACCTCAAAGACCCATCCTCCTCTCCTAGACCCCAATTTCCTATTTCCCAAGCCCATCGCAAGGGCATCCTACCTATCATCAACTATCTTCTTTCCCAAAGGCTTCTGGTACCAACTAATTCTCCCTGTAACACTCCAATCCTTCCTGTCAAGAAGCCATCAGGGGCCTACCAGCTTGTTCAAGACCTGCAGATAATCAATGAAGCTGTAGTCCCTCTTCACCTGGTCATCCCTAACCCTTATACTCTCTTATCTCAAGTTCCCCTGGACACCTCTCCTACCTACCTTACTTCTCACTCCTAAGAAAGATACCCCCTTGTCCTGCCCAATGCTCGCCTTTCCATTCTTTCGTCCAGGCTGCCTGCTACAAACAAGCCTCAGTCTGTCTCTCACCATCCAGACTGCAGTATTAGATGGGGCAAAGCCTGAGTGATCATGCTAGACATATTTGTCCTGGCAGACGAAGGCAACGTATCTGCTAGAACCTCCGGCCACCGATAGAGAGGTTGGACAGTAGAAGTGCACAAGACCATGTGGGTACATCAGTACTTGCCCCTTCCCTCCAAGCCGCCTCTGGCCTCCCACCAGGCTCAACGCTACCCTTGCCGCCCCTCCTCAGCTGGAAGTAGCCAGATTGAATTGGCACCCATTATAACCAAAAGGCTGGAATATAAGGCTAGAGGCACCGGAGGGAGGGGTGAGCACGTCGGACACTGATGTGCCAAAGTCCCCGGCTGCTGCCCCGTCCCAACCTGAAAAATGTGCCTTAGACTGGCCAATCCTCACGTGCTGTAAATCTAAGCTCTGCATCCCCCCTAGCTTCTTTAAAAACTCGCTGCCTGCCCTGCTGAGCGCAACTTCTCCAGCCTGTGTTTCAGACTGGTGAACCTTGCCCGGGATTGCGCTCAAATAAACTGCCTGGCCCTTTGTTGCCTTTTGTTGCCTGCTTGTTTCAGTTAGACTTTATCTTACAGATGGAACTGAGAATCCTGTGTCTGAAGAAATCAACTTAAAAAAAATGTATACCGTAAACTGTTTCCCAAACTCCACACTAACTGGTTCCACTCTGCTAAGTAACCTGTTCTTTTAAACAAAACCCTAGCCAAAGTTCCTGATTAGCTGAAATGTGCCTAATTTCAGGAGTGAACAGAATCACAATACCAAGTGCTATGTGGGCCAGAACTGGGGCCAGGCGGCTCTGCTACGAGCCCCTCATTCAGACAGACGCCCTCTTCGGAAAATTACCGTGTTTCCCTTTCTGCACACTTCTGTCACCTCCCGAACTTGCACCTCATCCCATTCTTAACTCTTCTCTCACTTCTAGTTGTTCCGCCCTTCACTGAAACGGGCTTTCTTCTCTGTGCCCTTTGGGTATCAATCCTAACAGACGAGTTATAACGGAGAGAGGTCACCTCAGCAGGTAGAGCCCAGCAGGGCCTGGCCGGGTGCCGCACTTCAGTACAGCCGCTGTTCCCCGCGCCCCATGTGCTGAGTCTGACGGCCTCAGCTAGCCACGGCTGCTGGTTTCCATGGCTGCACCGTCGCGAAGCTTCACTCGCCGTTTAGGCGTAATGAGCCCGACTGCAACTCGGGTGCGGACGCAGAGCGGTACTCGACACACTCAGCACACACCTCTCCACCCGCTCCTGCCGAGGGGGCTCAAGCCGCGGGCAGATACCTGCCCCGAGCCGGGGCGGGGCCTGGAAAGCTTCGCCCAATCAGGAACTCCACCTAACCGGTCGGGCCTGTTTCTAAGACACGATTAAACCAATGAACGCTCGAGTGCGGAATTGCCTGGGTGTTCTGGGAAAACGCCTCTCCCGGAAGCCATAAGCAGCCATTGAACCACACTGGGCGGAGCTCGCCTCCCGGCCCGCCGTCCCACTGGTTGGTACAGCTGTCCGTCAGGGGTAGAGGCGGGCAGGACCGGAGGCACTCCTTTTCGCGCGGAGCCGCGGATAACGCCGATGAGCACCAGGGCTCTGAGGTCCGGACCCCTGGACGGAGGCTCCGTGGAGGAAGAGGCGGGAACAAGGGCGGTTCTTTCCGGTCCTGAGGCGAGCGGCCGAGGAGCGCGGAACTTCGGCAGGCGCCCCCCCCCCGGACCTTCAGGGGCCGGCCCTCAGCGCCGACTGGTGCGCCGCGCGCTAGGTAGGTGCTGCGCGGGCGTTCCGGGCCCTCTCTCGGAGCCCCTCCCTCCCACTCCCCCCCCCCCGGCTGGGGGTGGAAGCCGGTTGTGCCTTCTGTGGTCGCGCTGCGAAGAGCTTGGTGGTGCGGTGCGGCCTTCATAGCCTTGGGGCGCCTCGGCCCATAACGCTCCGTGCGGTTGGCTGGGGTCGCGCAGTCCGCAGCTCTGCAGGTGACCGAACCTCAGGGAGGGCGGCGGTCGTCCATCTGCCTGGAGTCGCTGGGAAGGCGGCCTGGCCGACGCGGGAGCGGAGGCGGAGGGGTCGGGGCCTCGTGAGGAGCAGGGTGGACATGCAGCGGCGAAGCCCAGCCGGAGACAGCTGGGGCCCAGAAAGGTTTCCAGCCTAGCCGCCCTGGAGCTGTTCTCTGAGACTACTCCATAGCTGCAGGGACCTAGGGGATGAGCAGGTCTATGGACGGCGTGCACTTGACAGCGTCTTCAAAGACCCCACACGCTCTTACAAGTGATAAATCAGGAGTGCAGTTACTGTCAGGGCCTTGATCCAGACCTGAGGTCCCTGTTCTCGCTTGTGACGTTGTTTTAGTAGTGCTCTCTCGTCTGTTCCTGCAGGCAAAAGCACTTTGAGTGTTCTGAAGCTTGACTTGCGGTCCTGGAGGGAGCGGAGAGACCTGTCTGTACCTGGTCCTTGAACTGCTCATTTCTAGGACCCAGCTTCCTCCCAGCTCTTAATAGCTCAAAGCAGAGACCTCCACATTACTGGTCTTTAAGGGTAAGTGAATCCTTCCCAACCTATCTTATATTTCATAAGTTTGATATTTTTTAAAAAGGATGTTTGAAATGAAATGAAAAGTTTGTAAATCTAAATACATCCAGTCTTTCAGTAATGGGTTCTAATGAATTTTTTAAGTGAAATATTTTAATAATGCAGAAAACAACAGAGAACCTTAGCAGTTTTACTCTATCCTGACAAAAAAGCAAATAATATTTCTTGATAATTGTTCACTTTTTTAAAGGAAATGTGAAATTTTTTGCTGCTATCCCCACCCCAGTCCCATAGAACTTCTTAGAGTCTAACTTGTCTTTCCACTGTGGCTCACAGGACTTACCTCATGGGTATCTGTGCTCCCAGAAGCTAGGTAGTATCCTCATTTTCCTAGGCAGCCACAGGTTTGCTTCTTACTGCTTATCAGGAGAATGGTGGTTGCCTCTTCGGTCCTGTCCTCATGGCATTTGTTTTCCTAAATCTCCCTTCTCTGTTTTACTTTCCTGGATTGTCACCAGCTGACAACCACTTGCCATCCAGTTGGCCTTAATTGAACCACAGTTCCCTTCTACATGGTCCACTGTCTTTTCCCAGGATAAACAGTTTCCTGGCTTCTCTAGAGGCAGTCACATCTGTTCTATCTGCCAAGAAAAAGTGGCCTTCAAGGGTCAAATGTACTATTTTATAGAATGATATTTTCAAAATTCAGTAACATCCACTATTTTCTGACCACATACTAAGTATCGGGCTTTTTCACTATGCACTTGGTATACACTGTATTGTTTAATTCTCACATTATAAGTGACCTTTCATTTGAAAACGACCACACTGAGGCTTAGATTAGGCATCTGGCAACAGTTTGAGCCTAGAGTCATCCCTCTACACTGTGTAAGTGTTTTGCCATCAGTAGAAAAGGAGGATTGTCCCGTTGTTGGGCAGAACAAATGTAGGCATTCACACAGGTTCCCTTCAATACCTGCCCCACAGACTCAGTCCCTCAGGCGCAGGTAGCACTGGGTGGAGGCGCCCTTCAGCAGAGTGAAGATGGCGTCGGTGGACTTCAAGACCTACGTGGATCAGGCCTGCAGGGCCGCTGAGGAGTTTGTCAATGTCTACTACACCACCATGGACAAGCGGCGGCGCCTGCTTCCCCGCCTTTACATGGGCACTGCCACACTCGTGTGGAACGGGAACGCCATTTCGGGACAAGAGTCCTTGAGTGAGTTTTTTGAAATGTTGCCTTCCAGTGAGTTCCAAGTCAACGTGGCAGACTGTCAGCCTGTTCATGATGAAGCCACCCCAGGCCAGACCACAGTCCTCGTTGTGATCTGTGGAACAGTGAAGTTTGAAGGCAGCAAACAACGGAACTTTAACCAGAGCTTTATCCTGACCGCTCAGGCCTCGCCCAGCAACACAGTGTGGAAGATAGCTAGCGACTGCTTCCGGTTCCAAGACTGGGCCAGCTAGTGTGGGCAGGAAGGGCTCTGCTTCAGCCATGGCTCTGGGGCAACACAAGTCCATAGCATGGGGACACCAGTTCCCTTCTGTTGTCGCAGGCTGCACCATCAGCCTTACCTCTGCATTTGCTCTGGTTCAAGGAGCCCCTTTCTGACTGAGCACATACTTGTTTGTCATAGTTGCCTTTTCAGAGTAGTAAACTATTCTATTTTTCTACTTGCCCAGTAGAGACGTTGGGTCTGGAATATCTGGCAAATAAAATAGTAATACAAATACTGGCTGTTTTTTCCTGGCTTGATGTGTTTGATTAGATCTTGAGGAGGGAAGGAGGTGGTGGTTAAAAGCAGGGAGCACAACAGAAAGCCCTGGCAGAGATGTGAGGTCCAGGTTGAGCACCTGCCGTGGCTCAGGTATGTACTCAGATGTGCTGGGGCTGGGGTGCACAGCTCTGCACACTGGATCCTTTGAGGCACTTTTTAAATTACCTTTGCCCAGACCCATATACCAAACTATCCCCAGATCTCTGAGGGTAGGGTGGACATTGGCATTTTTCAGAAGCACCCTATGTGTCTTAATGTGTAGTTCACTTTCTTTAGAGTACACCAGTCACTCAGCAGGTGGCTGGTCCCTACCTTAGAAACTAAGCTAAGAGCTATGAATGAGAACAGGTGAAATACTCAGGAGTCAACTAATAACTATAAGCAATTATGATTGCTTATAAATGAAGCATCTATATTAACTCTTGTAAAGAGAAGGTAAAGAACTGCTTTTAGGAATTACTCTTGTTGAAGGAGGGGAGGCAGCAGAATCAGAAGCTAGCTTTATGGACCCTGTTAACCAACTCTTAATTGCATTTCTCTAATGTAAAGAACAGAAAACTAGAAGATTCTATCATCCTTTGACCAGTAGATGAGGTATTATGGCCTTTTCTCTTCCCTAGTTAAATTTTCTTTGACAAAAGTACTGGGTTTGGGATTGGGCTGTGGGCCAAGACATCAGAACGGGGCCATTGGAGAAGGAAGAGAACCCTGATGTGCACGACGGCACAGATGGCAGTTCCTCTCAGTACCCTCCTCTTCAGTTACTAAGGCCTGCCGTTTAGTGGGCCTACGAGGTGATTACCCAGCTGGGTTTATAGCAAGGTTTGACATATGACTTAAGTTCTGGCCAGTGGTGTAGAAGCAGAAGGGTGGGGCTGGTGGGAATTGGCTTTAATAGACTCTTCTTCCTCTGTCCTGCTACCTGGAATTCAGTTACGATGGCCGGACCACTGTCTCTGGCCTGTCTTTGGCCACAAGGACAGGTCAGTTATACTCTAGAGGCTGGCTTACATCAAGCCGGCAGGAGCCTGGACCTTGGTGACTATGTGGAACCAGCAAGATGGCCTCAGTTCACCTACCCCCAGACTTTTTAAATGAGATACATACATCCTATCTTTGAGTCATTGTTTTGGGGCATATTATCACCTACTGTAGCAAAACTTATCCCAAGTGAGGAAAAAGTTTTGCAGCAGGGACAGACAGTGCCTGTGTGCAAGAGGATGGCTCTGCCATGGCACTCGGGACCCAAAGCAGGTCCAGGTATGTTCCTTGCCCTTGAGTTCATAGCCTAACTGGGGAACAAGATGTTGAAATGGTAAGCTGAGTTTCAAAGCCACATCTAAAGAGTGACCTAATCAGTCACACAGATGTGTGCATAGCAAGCCGAGACAAGCAGTTCAGCTGAGATGCTGGTAAAATACATGAGAGAAAGGAACATGAGGCTCCAAAACAGGATGTTCTTTCTGAAGCCTGCAGCTCTGTCCCATGGGGGAGGAGAATGGGGTGTGAGGGTTGGTACGAAAACTGATTGGGAGGGAAGTGCTGCTGGGCTTCAAACCTCAAAGTCCCCTTAAGGGGTGACATGGGACACCACCTACCTCACCTCAGGCTAGGGTAGAGGGCATGAGTCCCACTGGGTCCTCAAAGAGCTTGACATGAACTCCCAAGCATCTATATCACATTGGCCTAAGAACCTTCAGGACAGCAACTGTGGGTGTCCCTATGGGACAATAGGCTTGGGAAGTAAGTGTAGATGGCATCCTGCAGGGCACTAAGCTGGCCACAAGTAGCCTTCCAATACCTGCTCCGCCCCTTCAGGAACAAGGCCTAGTGGTGTTGGTTGGGAAAGCTCTCGGATGAAAGACCTGCCTTCCCTAGACCACATGGTTAGGGTGGCCTGTGATGCCAGGGGCCAGAGAGATACAAAGGGCTGGGAGACACTTTGGGGAAGGCTAGAAAGATGGGGCAGCCAATCTTCCTTTCTTTCCCTTCTTTCCCCTCCCAACCTAATGCCATCCTGCCATGGAAAACAGGCATAAGAGTGAGTGCTCTAGCAACCCTACTGGCCACAAGGCCCATTTGGCCACATGGAGGAATGGAAAGAACCCCTAGGGTCCCTGTCAACCTCATGGAGCCCCTCGACAGCCTTGGATGACCCCCTCTGGCTTCTTCCAGAGGAGCAAGAGTTACAATTGCATCTTACTGAGGCCACTGTTGTTTGGGAGCCTTTTTACATGCAACCAAACATGATCCTCAGTGACAAACTGGAGAAAAGCATGTGCCACAATAGACAGGCATATGTCCTTACTATGTAAAGAAGCCTTAAAATCAGTAGGGAAAAAAAAATCAGAGAAAAAAACAATAGCACAAGAAAAGTGAACAGGTAAATCACAAAAATACAAGCAGAAGGAAGGGAGGGAGGGAGGGAAGAAGAAAGGATATGATGCAGAAACTAAATTTATTGTAGTGGAATTCAGCAGGGTTTGCAGTGGACACTGGTGTTGCTCCCACATCCACCTCTCCCTCCATTTGCACCTAAGTGGTGGTACCATCTCCCACCCCATCAGACTGGCAATGGCCAAGAAACCCCAAACTCTCCAGTGCTTGTCAGGGTGAGACCTTGGGTGGAAGTGACAGTTGCCTCATAAGATGGGAGATACAGGAAGGTGGAGTTGGGTGTGGCGACAAGTTTCCTGGGAAAGAGCTGCTTCTCAGTACTGACCCTATCCCACTAATAGCTCCGTCAAATGTCACTTGCCCTGTGGGTCTCAGCCATGTGCACTGACCATCCCATTTGCCCAGGACTGAGGGGGCTCTGGGCATAGGCTTTTGGTGCTGAGATCAAGAAAGTCCCAGAGAAACTGGGAGTACTTGGTTACCCTACTTTCAGCCCAATCTATGCTGCAGACCAGTGAACTCTAAACTGCACTTCAGTCTCTGGAGATAGAGAAGGGGTCTGCAGCCATAAGCACTGAGAGCAGGAGGGCATCAGGGTGTCTAGTAGAGCTATCATGGGCAGACATTCCCTCCTGCTGTGTCTCCTGGGTCTTTATTTTAATTAATGTAAATATGAATACTACATGTGGTTGGTTCCTATGGCATTGGACAGCACACTGAATACAGAACTGCTGGTCTGGAGATTAGCGGGTAACCCAGAAATGAGGGAGCACTGTGGTCTCCACGGCTGGAGTGTTCAGAGGGAACAGAGCTTAGCTGGACTCTTGTCACAGAGCCAGATGGGGCTCCAGAGGACATGACACCCACTTCTGTTTCCTAAGGAGTTTCTCCTGCCCACCAGGCTCCACTGAGGCCCAGCTGCAGAGCCCTTGACCCTCAGCTTCCCATCACTAACCATACCCATTTCCTCCTTGAAATGCAGCACAAGATGGGCTTGAAACTGTTCTAGGAAAACCAGTGAATGTAAATGCAGATGTAACCTACTGTGCATGTGGTCATGAAGCATCTCCTGGCAAAGCCGTGCTCCCTCACAGCCAAGAACCCTTTGCTGCCCATGCCCTGCCGCCTGCTCAGGGCTCTGCAATGACCATTGAGTTTTTATCTCCCAGTTCAGAGAGCAAGGCCAGCCAGGTGATCAGTCAGCTTATTTTAACTGGCATGAAATGACTAAGGTGATCCAATTCCGAGAACATCCACCAAGTGTCAGGAGGAAGCAGAAAGGATAAAGCCTTTGCCTGAAGATGGGCTGTTTTGCTTTCTAGGAATGGTGTGCATGTGTGTGAATGTGAGTGTGAACTGGGCATACAGGGCTAAAACAGTCCCCATCCCCACCACCCATGTCCCTTCATCTGAACACTCCTCCAACCACCCCCCAACCCCAAACACATGAACCTGGCAACATTTCCACTGCAATTTTACTTTTCAGAATTTCAGAACCACGGCCTTTTATAGGGCAAGAAAAGGAATAGGTTCATTAAAAGGGAACCATAGCAACGAGCAAATCAGTCAGCAGATAGGCTGCTGGTATTTGAGCTGTGAACTCAGTACAGCAGAGCAGGTGGCAGCCCCACCCACCACGGGAAACTGACCTCCACATTGGAGGATGTTCTGTTGACTTGTACCAGGTGTGATCCTGCATGGCCTCCTATCTGTGTGGTGACCAGGCAACTGGTTTCAGAAGGAAGGTCTGGAGAGGGTTGCACTGCAGGTAGACCTCAAACTTTACCGTCCCACAGGCCACAGCAAAGACCATTGTCTGCCCCTCTGCTTCTGGGTGTTCCTGGCTGGCAGCGGACTTTGCTGACATGGAACGAGCAGGGGGACAGTGAGCTGAAACACTTGCCCAGGGCCTTCTGCCCAGAGACGGTTTCCATCCCACATCAGCGTGGCCACCACGCACAGCAGGGACAGCTGGTCCCTCTTCTTATCTACGCTGGTGGTGCAATAAATACAGACAAGCTTTGGTGGTAGTCTTGCGTGGGCTTGTGGCAGTTGTTGAAATATAAGGAAGAAATCACAATCTTGGGTGCAGGATAAGGTGACCTCAGAAAAGCTTCTGTTTTAGGACACCAGGAACTGCATCCTGGAAGAAGCAAGAGATAAGCAATGGTAAATGCTGATCGCTATTTCCAGATGGGCTCTGCAGACCTGGGGCAGTGGCTCTCTGGACCATCACCTGGGCATTTGCTAGAGATACAGATTTTTTAGGCCCCACCACAGCCAAACAAGCTGTGTTCATCAAACAAGGGCCACTGCTTTAGGGGAATATCCCTCCTTTCTTGCTGGATGACTATGATCTGTGAGAGAAGTATGGCAGAAGAACTGGGCTTTGAAACATAAACTGGGCTCAAACTTCAGCTGCTCAGCATCTCCATGCCTACTTCCTTCTCTGCACAGTGTGGTAGTATAATACCTGACACAAGTGTGTGCAGTGTTCTTAGGACAGAGCCTGCCACATGGAACACCATCAACAAAAGTGAGCAAACCAGTACACCTTC